TTGCTTCCCAGGGCCACCTACTGCCACCCTCCCTGTATTCCAGACAATCTCCCCAGAGGAGCTGGGGAGGGCCGTGGACCCTTTCGCCTTCCTGTATTTTTCTGGGAGATAATTTTCCCACCTTCTCCATTCATCAAAGGCCTCCCTGGCCCCCAGCATCCAAGCCCCGAATCCCCCTTTCCCGGCCACTCAAACCCTTTCCTCTGCTCTGTGCCTTTTGTGGGCCTTCGGTCATTCTGTCCTATGTGTCTGTCCATCTCCCTCTTTTATTTTTATTTTATTTTATTTTTTATTTTAATTGAGGCAGAGTCTTGCTCTGTCACCCAGGCTGGAGTGCAATGATGTGATCTCTGCTCACTGCAACCTCCGCCTCCTGGGTTCAAGGAATTCTTTTGCCTCAGCCTTCTGAGTAGCTGGGACTACAGGCACCCACCACCATGCCTGGCTAATTTGTTTCTATTTTTAGTAGAGACAGGGTTTCGCCATGTTGGCCAGACTGGTCTGGAACTCCTGACCTCAGGGGATCCACCCACCTCAGCCTCCCAAATTGCTGGGATTGTAGCCGTGAGTCATCACGCCCAGCCCATCTTCCTCTTTAAACTGTGTGCTGCACAAGGTTGGTTTATCCATTTCTGTGTCCACCCAGAAACTGGCATCCAGGGCCTTGTCCCCTGAGAGTGCCGAATGGAACCATCCTGCCAAAGCAACACTCTTTCAGAAGGGTAGATTTAGCTGAAAACACATCTTCAGGTTAGAATGCCTCCCACAATTTTCAACAAAGCTGGTGGGAGGAGGATGGTCCCTTGGACTGTGGTGCAGAGGGTTGTATGGGACTGAGGGTCTGGGCTGGGGCAGACACTTTGCAAACATTATCTCAGGACTCCTCCTAGCAACCCCATTGTCATTACAGGATTATTACCCCATTTTACAGATGAGCCACTGAGGCCACGGAATAAATTACTCCAAGACAGGAGCCCAAAAATAGGAGAGCCCTAGTCTTGCCTGAGGTTCTCTTGCCCGAGACAGCCACTCTCTCCCTCACAAGGCCCTGCAAGGTGGATAAGACCAGAGCTGGTCAAGGCATCCCCCACTCCCACTTATTTTTTTTTTTTTTGGAGACAGGGTCTAGTTTCGTCACCCAGGCTGGAGTGCAGTGGCATGACCATGGCTCACTACAGCCTTGACATCCTGGGCTCAAGGGATCCTCCTACCTCAGCCTCCTGAGTAGCTGAGACTACAGGCACATGCCATGATGCCCAGCAAATTTTTTTCTTCTTTTTTCTTCTTATGTATAGAGACAGGGTTTCACTATGTTACCCAGGCTGGTCTCAAACTCCTGGGTTCAAGCGATCCTCCCACCTCAGCTTTCCAAAGTGCACGCATTTCCATTTTTGTGATAAGGAAACTCAGGTTTACAGAGGTGATCTCTGTGCCTCCTTCCACAGCCAGTGAGGGGTAGAGTGAAGACTTACCAGCACCTGGCACAAGATACTTGTCCCAAAACATTGGTGACAGAGACTTAGTGAATTCATAACGAATCAGCTGTGACTTCTGTGCTCTGCCAACATTCCACATCTTGGGGGCCTCTGGTTCATGCAGCCCTCATTCCAGAGCTCAGTGCCCTCAGAGCCTGTCAGAAACCCAAGGTGCTAAAGGAAACCGTGTCTTCTGGGCTGTGTACCCCAAACCCAACATGCATTTCCCTCAAATCCAGAAAGGCTCTGAGCCAGGCCAGAGTTCCACTGAGATGCAGGGAAAGCAACTGAGTCTCTGAGGCATTAAATAACTCAAAGTCCTGCGCCTGGTAAGGGGCAGAGCCTGTGTTCTTTCTTCATGCTGCAACACTGTAGGTGACCAAATAAAATTAGGTTTAAACACAGTGCCGGGGCACGCAGGACAGGGTATCATCAAACATTGCCAGTGTTTGTAACAAACGGAAATCTTCCCACAACCATGGCTGTCTCCCTCATCTCCTTCCCTGGGCTGGAGAGCATCACCAAATAGCCATGCGGTCACCCTGTGGACACCTGCACACATACAAATGATGATTCAGGAGTTCAACTGCCAGCTCGTCCATACTAAATTCCCCTGTTCTGTGCCAAGGATATCACACTGATGTATTTGGATACCTGTCATTGGCCCCCTAAAAACCCCCACATGTAAGCCATTCCCCATTCTCTCTCCATAAGAGTGCACATCAGGAAAGGGTGGGCGAGATACATCACTGGCTTTGTAGTCAAGGGCACTTGTTCAAGGAGAACAAGAACCTTGCACACGAGCCTGAGAGGTTAAGTGTGCATGCACTTTTACTTCCATTCTTCCCACAAGTACTGCTGCTTCTTGCACTCCTAGTACACTCCTCAAGCAACCCTTGGAGGAGGTGGGACAGGAAACACTGTCCTGATCTGGAGGTTGGAGAAACAGACTCAACAAGGCAACCTGCTTTTCCCAAAGTCCCTCAACCAGTAAGGAACACAAGCAGGGCAGGCTCAAGGCCCTGGATTCCTGCTCTTCCAGTCAGAGCTGCAACCCCTCAAATTCACATGTACCAAACCATGGCTTCCAGAGGCCCCGGAGCAGCTCGGAGGAGGGGCCACTTTGGGCCTCCAGGATGTGGCAGAGCCCTTGACAGCCAAACTGTGTTCAATGAGTCCTAATGAGACTGGTTTAAATAGCACTCCAGAGAGTATGCAGGCCCCTTACTCAGAAGCACTCCAGCCCTGGAAGAGACATACCTGGAAGTTCTGGTTCTCTAGAGAACCAGACAGAACACCCTGTACCAAATGTATACCACTTCCCATCAGCCACTGGCGCACATCAAGTGCCGAGACCTTGGGCTTTGGAACCAGGCACATCTGGTTCACACCCAGCTCCCCTGGCCAGCCGCAGGCCCCTTTCCCATCACCCAAGCTCTCCCTGCTTCGAGTGAGGACTGAAGAAGAGGGCATCGCGGAGGCCGCAGCACCGGGAAGCTCTCACCCACGAGCACCTTTACAGACTTTCCCATGACATATGCTTAACATGCTCACTGTAGATAAAGTACAAAATAAAGATAAGGGGGAAAAAGCCATAAAAGTCTTACCACCCATAATCTTACCACCCAGCTGCCCACTTAACGTATTTTTGAACATGTGTGTGCATGTGTGAGCATGTGCGTGTGCATATGTGTGCATGTGTATGTGCGCTTGTGCACTCTCTAACATCTCTACGGAGATCTTAATCCCTCAAAAGGTGCCTTGGTTTTTATGCCCTATTATTAACTCTGTCAGTTATATTCAATTATTCACTATTACAGACAGAGCTATTAGGAGTGAACAATCTTGTAGCTAAAGCTTCGAGCATTTTCTAATTTCATAGATTTTTCTTAGAAATAAAACTGTGGCAAATGCACTTTTGTGACTTTTGATATATGTTGTCGTATTTTCTTTTTTAGAGATAAGGTCTCACTCTCTTGTCCAGGCTAGAGTATAGTAACATGATCATGGCTCACTGCAGCCTCAAATTCCTGGGCTCAATGATCCTCCTGCCTCAGCCTCCCAAGTAGCTGGGACCACAGGCGTGCATCACCATGCCCAGATAATTTTTAATCTTTGTAGAGATGGGGGGTGGTCTCGCTATGTTGCCCATGCTGGTCTCAAACTCCTGAGCTCAGAGGATCCACTGACTCTGGCCTCCCAAAGTGCTGGGATCATAGGCATGAGCCACTGTGCCCTATATTACCCTATATTACCATATTTATACTCTTGGTTTCATAGCCAAAGCATTGTATTTTCTTATTATTTTAACATGAATTTTTAATCATTAATGAGGTTAAGTGTCTGTAGGAATGCTTATTGCATTTTTACACTTACTTTTTTTTTTTTTTTTTGAGATGGACTCTCGCTCTGTCACCCAAGATTGAGGACAGTGGTGTGATCTTGGCTCACGGCAACCTCCAATTCCCAGGTTCAAGCGATTCTCCTGCCTCAGCCTCCCGACTAGCTGGGATTACAGGAATACGCCACCACACCCGGCTAATTTTTGTATTTTTTTTAGTAGAGATGGGGTTTCACCATGTCGGCCAGGCTGGTCTTGAACTCCTGATTTCAGGTGATCTGCCCGCCTTGGCCTCCCAAAGTGCTGGGATTACAGGTCTGAGCCACCACGTCCGGCCTATATTTACACTTCTTGTATTGGGTCTGTTGTCCATGTTTTCTGCTGGAATATTTTTCCTGATTTATTTTTTAATAAGTATTCTTTTATATTGAGTATACAAACCCATTAGCTATTATATGTGAGGCAAATATTCTCCTACTTTTATTTTTAGTGGTAACAATAATAATACGTCTCTCTGTCCAAGAAGCTATGCCTGAAACTAGGATTTTACCTACTGTGTTTGGTAAAGGTAAAATTTGAAATAGCTCATGTGGAATCACAAAGCCTGGTGTTGAGACTTATCCTAGGAGCCAAAGACTGGCCAGGCTGTGTGTGTGTGTGTATGTGTGCTGTGCATAGTGTGTGTTGTGTGGGGTGTGTGTGTGTGTGTTCTTAAGTCACCAGATCAGATTATCTAGATTTTATTTTATTTTATTTTATTTTTTTGTAGAGATGACGTCTCACTATGCTGCTCAGGCTGGTCTCGAACTCCTGGGCTCAAGAGATCTTCCTGCCTCAGCCTCCCAAACTGCTGTGATTATTGGCATGAGCCACAGCTCCTGGCCAAGCTTACCTGGATTTCAAAAGATAAACACAAGGTAAGACAGAACTCACTGAACCAATGCCCACCAGTTATTAGATCTCATCATATGTGCCTCACATGTAAGGTTTTTCTGAAGTATGTTTTCTTTTGAAGTCATAACGTTCCTGATCACACACTGTAGTCCGGATTTCCTAGTCTGTCATCTAATTTTGCAAACTTTAACTAAAAATATAAAATAAAATCTGTGTTTTACTTAGGAAATCTTTTTTTACTTAGAAAAACATTTTATTACAGATATTATTTTTTGATACAACATCTCAGTGAAGTAACCAGGAAATAGACTATTTCTCCTCATTTTATAGATGGGTAAAATGAGGCTCAGGGAATGGAATTATCAATGCAAAGTCATTAAGGGGTGGAGGCTACACTCAAACCCAGACATTCTGACTCCAACTCTGGAAGATTCTTCGTGAGCCCACAGTGGTTTGGGGCCCAGGAGTGGAGCCAGAAACCCTCACTGCTTATAACAAGGTGATTGGTCTGCTCAGCACTAGGGCCTCAATTTCCCTGTCTGCATATCTCTGCAGCATTAGCTAAAGTAAAACACCCACGTGGGGTCAGGGATCAGGGCGCCGTGCCACTGCAGTAGGCTTGTCCTGTCCTGGCCGGCGCCGCCAGCATGGTAGGGAGTTGCCCACTCTTGAGCTAATGGCGCCACATCCCCGCAGTCAGCCTCCCAACAGTCATCCATGGACACCCATCTCCGCAGCACCTCTCAACAGTGACAGTTCTCATCTCTGTCACAAGTGTCTCTGGATGATTTCCTGTCATTTTCTGCGTGTGTAGGTAAACGCTTCCACTTTCAATCACTTTGGGTTTGTTGACAAGTGGCTTGAATCTTCTTCGTTCATCCATCAAAAAGTTATCAAACCCTTCCCTGTGCCATGCATTTTGCAGCCTGATGGGGATGGAGAAAAAAAATAGATGAGAATCCTGGCTCTTTGGGAGCCTTCTGTCTAGTAAAAGACACCTATGAGCGGGGTCCCAGGAGAGGAGGGAGCAATCAAGAAAGCTGAGCTTCCCAGGGCTGATGTTGGACTGAGCACTGCAGAATGAATAGGAGCTGGCCAGAGGGAGAAGAGGGAAAGGCTCAAAGGAATGGCCCAGGCAAAAGCACCGTTTCAAGGGTGGGGCTTGGTGTGATGGTGGGAGGAGCATCCGGCTGAGGGTGAAGCAGGAGCTAGACTGGCGGCTGCAGGTTGTGAAGAGCCCCAGGTGCCAGGCTGGGGAGCTGCTTTTATCCTGTCCTCCCAGTGACTCCTGCATGGGGGGCAGGTCAGGTGTGACTTAGCTGCCAACCTCAAGGCACACATAGGACAAGGGAAGGAAAGAGCTGACCACTGGAGTCCTCCCATGGTACTGGCATCCAAAATGGGTCACTCTGGCTGAGAAATCCCCCTGCTCCTGCAGTCATAGCGGGCAGTGCCAGGGCTCAGGGGTGCTGATGCAGTGGCCCAAACCACCCAACATGGTGGCCGATTCCCGTTTTCCCTGGGCCTTCAAGGCTTGAGCAGGATGGTGTCTACCTCGCAGGCCAGAAGTCTTCCCCTGTGGGGCTAGAAAACCATCTCTGCTGCCTTGGGGTTGATTTTTTCCCTGCTGTCTAATCAACTTGCTGCTCCACAACTGATTCAAACTATTTCTCAGCCCTAGGTCAGGCTCTTGCCTCACTTTCAGACCACGGCAGACATTGCTCCACACTCAGTGCTGATCCTAATCTTGCTACACCCCTGCATGACTGGCTTCCATAATCACAATAGTAATAGCCATAAGGGTAACCCCTGCCTTTCCTAAGGGCTTCCTCTGTGCCAAGCACCACACTAGAACGGCTCACCGTGCTCGTGGCCACTGTGCTCCCCTGCCTCCTGCTCGTTTTCCCTCCATCCTGGGCTACTGTTACCCAGCAATGGGCTTGCTGCCTGAAGTACGCAGAGGCCAATATTATGGCACTCGCTTTTGAGAACAGCAAAAGCTTTATTGTAAGCTGGCTTACAAGGAGTCAGGAGCCAACACCCGAATCTGTCTCCCTGAGCTGGGGTCTGGGGATGGGTTTTATAGGCAGAGAGTAACAGTGAAAGAGACAAGAAGGTGCAAAGAAGCATGATCTGATAGGTTCATGCAAAGAGGCCATGATAGGTCCTTGGCTCTTGGCCAGGTGCAGTGGCTCACGTCTGTAATCCCAGCACTTTGGGAGGCCAAGGCAGGCAGATCACTTGAGGTCAAGAGTTTGAAACCAACCTGGCCAACATGGTGAAACCCAGTCTCCACTAAAAATACAAAGATTATCCAGGCATGGTGGCAAGTGCCTGTAATCCCAGCTACGTGGGAGGCTGAGGCAGGAGAATCCCTTGAACTTGGGAGGCGGAGGCTGAAGTGAGCCAAGCTTGACCCACTGCACTCCAGCAACAAAGTGAGACTCCATCTCAAAAAAAAAAAAAAAAAGAAAAAAGAAAAAAAGTTCTTGGCTTTTAAGTCTGTGCTGCAACAAAACAGGGCACCGCTGGCTTCCTCATTTGGTCCCCATTCCTGGATTCTAGTACTTAGTTTCCATCTGTTTTCCATTCCATCCAGCTCTGGGGTCATGAGTCAGGCACACTTAGCTCATCTGGACATGCTCAGGTTACCTGCCTTGCAACCTGGGGCTGTTTCAACAGAAAAACAACTCATCATTTTGTCACTGATAAAGTTGAGCCAAATGGGACTGCTTCTGCAATTAACCTTCCTTCTACCAATGATGTGCGTTTTGAGGCCCTGTACAATCTAGTGCTTTGTCAACCAAGCCAAAATTCAATTCTGAATCAGTTGAGATATTGAGTTTGGCTGTGTAGACCTTTGCCATGAGTGTTACAGCTCATGAAGGTGGCATGGACCCAAAGAGTAAGCAGCAGCAAGATTTATTGTGAAGAGCGAAAGAACAAAGCTTCCATGGTGTGGAAGGGCACCCACGCCGGTTTCCACTGCTGGCTCGGGCAGCCTCTTTTTATTCCCTTATCTGACCCCACCCACATCCTGCTGATTGGTCCGTTTTGACAGAGTGCTGATTGGTGTGTTTACAGTCCCTGAGCTAGACACAGAGTGCTGATTGGTGCGTTTACAATCCTTTAGCTAGACACAGAGGGCTGACTGGTGCATTTACAATCCTTTAGCTAGACACAGAGTGCTAGACAGAAAAGTTCTCCAAGTCCCCACTAGATTAGCTAGATACAGAGTATCAGATTAGCTGATACAGAGTATTGATTGCATTTACAACCTTGAGCTAGGCACAGTGTGCTGATTGGTGTGTTTACAATCCTTGAGCTAGACACAAGAGTGGGTTGACTGGTGCATTTACAACTTTAGCTAGACACAGAGGGTCAATTGGCATTGATAATCCTTTAGCTAGACACAGAGTGCTAGACAGAAAAGTTCTCCAAGTCCCCACTAGATTAGCTAGATACAGAGTACTGATTGGTGTATTTACAAACCTTGAGCTAGACAGAGTGCTGAGTGGTGCATTTACAATCCTCTAGCTAGACATAAAAGTTCTCCAAGTCCCTACCCGACTCAGGAGCCCAGCTAGCTTCGTCTAGTGGATCCCATGCCAGGGCCGCAGGTGGAGCTGCCCGCCAATCCTGCACTGTGCACCTGCACTCCTCAGCCCTTGGGTGGTCAATGGGACCGGGCACTGTAGAGCAGGGGGAGGCACCCATCGGGAAGGCTCGGGCTGCACAGGAGTCCACCGGTGGGGGGGCTTGGGCTTTGTGGGCTGCAGGTCCCAAGCCCTGCCCCCCAGGGAGGCAGCTGAGGCCTGGTGAGAACTCAAGCATGGTGCAGGTGAGCCAGCAGTGCTGGGGGACCCAGTGCACCCTCTGCAGCTGCTGGCCTGGGTGCTAAGCTCCTCACTGCCCAGGGCCAGTGGCGCCGGCCGGCTGCTCTGAGTGCAGGGCCCGCCAAGCCCATGCCCACCTGGAACTCGCGCTGGCCCACAAACGCTGCGCGCAGCCCCAGTTCCTGCCCATACCTCTCCCTCCACACCTCCCCGCAAGCAGAGGGAGCCGGTTCCGGCCTTGGCCAGCCCAGAGAAGGGCTCCCACAGTGCAGTGGCAGGCTGAAGGTCTCCTCAAGCACAGCCAGAGTGGGTGTTGAGGGCAAGGAGGTGCCAAGAGCGAGCGAGGGCTGCAAGGGCTGCCAACACACTGTCACCTCTCAATCCCCCCTCTAAACAGGACACCCCAATTGCTGTTGGGAATTTCGTTGATGACACTCTAGCTACTTCCTGCTGGATAGGGGCGATGAGGGGGCCCTGCAGTTGTAGTGTCCTCCAGAGGGAAGCTCTCTAGGCCAGTAAAAGTGCCAGCGGGTCGGTCCAGGGGTCCTCAGCAGAAGTTGTTAGTTGAGCTCATTGGGGTTCCATTTGTAAGACCATCCGTAGCTTGATGGCCTCGATTCCAGAGGAAATAAATTTGACAAGAAGGTTAAAAATACAGGGTCCAAAGGCGAGTAACAGCAAGATGGCTGCCACAGGACCTAGAAAGGGGAGAAGCCATGTTGCCCAACTCCAGAGGTTGGTATAAGAGTTTGAAAGGTGTCTGATTTCAGAAGTCTTTTCCTATAAATGCTGGGTGGCATCTCGTACTATCCCTTACTGGTTAGTATAAAAACAACACTCTTCCCCTAAGAAGGTGTAGAGTCCTCCTTGCTCAGCAGTGAGGAGGTCTAGGCCTCGACAGTTTTGGAGAGTCATTGCTGCTAAAGAGTCTATTTGGGATTGTAAAGTAAGGATAGATTTTGTTATTTCTTGCAAACTGTCTGAGAAATCCTTTGAGAGTGTGTGGTAGTAGGATAATGAAGTAGATAAACCGGCTATTCTGGTTCCTGTAGCAGTAGCCATTCCTAACCCTATAAGTAGGGGTATTAGTTGTATGGCTCTGTGCTGACAGACTTGAGCTTTGAGGGGTACTGAAAAGGTCTGATTTCCTGGGGAAATGTTAATGTTGGGACTTAGAAAGACTAAGGTGCAGGTGCCCGTCCAGTTAGTGGGGAGGTAGATATAGGTCGACATTCCACATAAGAAGAATATACCTTGGCTGGGTAGACAGAAATTTACCTTGGCTTTTAGAGGAATAGGGTACACTGTTTTTTCTTTACTATTTCTATCTCTCTTTTTGACTTCTTCATTGTCTCTCTCTTTCTCTCTGACTCCCTCTTTTTCTCTCTGACTCTTCCGCTCACTCTCTCTGACTGTCTCTTTCTCTCTTTCCTTTTTGCTGCTTCTGCCAGCTGCTTATGCTGCTGTTCTCCCTTCTCCTTCCCCTTTTTGATGGCTTTGGCAGTGTAAGACTGCTACCTTCTTCGGTTTTTGCACTGTGTGCGGTAACTCTGTGATTTCCTTGTGGTATTTAATGGGGGTTCCCCGAGGTTAGGAACTCCCTTTCTTTCCATATTGCAGCATGGGCATGTAGGATTAGATAAGCATACTTGCTATCTGTATACACATTTATTCTTTTTCCCTTTCCCAGTTCTAAAGTTCGGGTAAGTGCTACTAGTTCTGCTAACTGGGCACTGGTGCCTGGGGGAAGAGGCTTACTTTCAAGTATGGTTACATCACTAACCATGGTGTAACCTGCCTTTCGTATCCCATTCTCCACAAATGAACTTCCATCAGTATATAGGTTAAGGTCAGGATTAGCTAAGGGGACTTCAAGAGATCATCTTGGGCAGCATAAATCTGGACTATAATTTGGTGGCAGTCATGCTCAATTGGTTCCCCATCCTCTGGGAGAAAAGTGGCAGGGTTGAGGGCCACACACGTGCGTATTTGAAGCACTGGTCCCTCAAGGAGTAGCACCTGGTATCTAAGTAGGCAGTTGTCTGATAGCCATAAACTTCCTTTCCCACCTAGTATGCCATTTACACTATGAGTAGTCCAGATAGTGAGATCCTTTCCTTGTATTATCTTGGTAGCCTCTGACACTAAGACGGCCACTGCTGCAACTACCCTTAAACAGTGAGGTCAGCCTTTTGCTACTACATCAGTTTCCTTACTTAGGTATGCCACTGGTTGTGGGGTTGTCCCACGAGTCTGAGTAAGGACTCCAAGAGCTACCACTGCTCTCTCTGTGACTATAAAGAGAAGTTTTGTACTGTCGGAAGGCTTAAGGCTGGAGCTTGTACCAGGGCCTGCTTTAAGGTTTTGAAGGCTGTTTCTGCCTCTGGTTCCCATTCTACTAGATGACTATTTGCCCTCTGGGTTTCCTTGATTAGAGTATAGAGGGGCCTGACTATCTTGCTGTGTCCGGGGATCCATAGTTGGCAAAAGTCGGCAATTCCAAGGAACCCCCACAACTGTTTCAATGTCTTAGGGTAAGGATAAGCCAGTATAGGCTATATTCGTTCCTTACTGAGGGCCCTCATCCCTCTGGCTAAGATTAGGCCTAGATATTTGACCTGCTGTAGGCAAAGCTGGGCCTTCGACCTAGATGCATTGTACCCTTGATTAGCTAGAAAGTTCAAGAGATCTAGAGTAGCCTGCTGGCATGAGGCTTCTGAACTGGTAGCTAAAAGTAAATCCTCCACATATTGAAGGACCAGAGTGCCTGAACTTGAGAAGTGGCCTAGATCTTGGGCCAGTGCCTGACCAAACAGGTGAGGGCTATCCCTAAACCCTCGGGGCAAGACTGTCCATGTGTTGGGACATTTGGTCTGTGGAATCCTCAAAGGCAAAGAAAAACTGTGAGTCAGAGTGCAGGGGAATACAGAAGAAGGCATCCTTGAGGTCCAGAACCGTGAACCATTCTGCTTCCTCTGGTATTTGAGAGAGCAAGGTGTAGGGGTTGGGTACAACTGGTTATAGAGGAATTACTCCTCATTGATGAGTCTAAGATCTTGCACTAGTCTCCACTGACCATTCAGTTTTTCTACTCCCAGAATTTGGGGTGTTGCAAGGACTGCTGCATTTCTTTGCTAAACCTTGAGCTTTTAAATGTTTAACAATATCCTGTAATCCTTTATGAGCTTGAGGCCTTGAGGGATACTGCCTTTGATAAGGAAAAGTGGTGGGATCTTTTAACCTGATTTGGACTGGGCGGGCATTTTTTACCCTTCCAAATTGTTCTTCCAATGCCCAGACTTCAGGGTTGATTCCCTCTTCAAGTAGCGGACAACAAATGGGTAACTTGTTCCCCATATTTATGTATATAATAGCTCCAGCCTGGGCTAATATATCCCTCCCTAATAAAGGTGTGGAATTTTCAGGCATAACAAGAAAGGCATGTGAAAAGAGCAAAGTCTCCCAATTACAACTGAGGAGGTGGGAGAAATACCTGGTTACAGGCTGTCCCAGGATTCTTCGGATGGTAACGGACCTTGAGGACAGTCATCCAGGAGATTAACACTGTGAAGGCCGCGCCAGTATCCAGGAGGAAGTCAATTTCCTGGCCCTTCGTCCTCTGGGGCAGTGCACCTTCCAGTGATTGCCTCTGCATAGTGGACATGGACAAGGGGCAGCTTGTTTCTCATTGGACAATCTTTTTTAAAGTGTCCTAATAAACCACACTGATAACAAGCCCTACCAGGTGATTGGCCTGCTCCATTTTCTGTCCTCTCTGAACCACCAAGGTTGGTTTGTCTGATGGCCATGACTAAGGCTGCAGCCTCTTATCTCACTTTTCCTTTTGGACCTGTTCCTCTTGGTCCCTATTATAGAACACCAAGGTTGCCAGGTTTAATAATGCCTTCAAATTTTGTTCAGGGCCCAGGGCTTGCTTTTGGAGCTTTCTCCTGATATCTGCGACTGACTGGGTAATAAACTTATCTTTTAGAATCAATGGATCCTCAAGTGATTCAGGTGACAGGGGAGTATATTTTCGTAAGGCCTCCCGTAGCCACTCAAGGAAGGCAGAAGGATTTGCTTCCTTTCCCTGAGTTATGGTGGGCATCATTGAATAATTCATGGGTTTTCTAATTCTCCTTAGTCCTTCTAGAACACAGGTCAATAGATGTTTACGACTCCAGTCCCCATGACCTGAGTCAATGTCCCAGTGGGGATCCATACTGGGGATGGCTTGCTGACCGGTAGGGAATTTGTCCCTTTCTTCAGCTGTCATTCTATCATTTACTTGACTAAGATACCAGGTATCTCCAAACTCTTGGGCTATAGCTAAAGCCACATTCTTTTCATTAAAGGCCAGGGTTTGATCTAACAGTAGCATGACATCTCTCCAAGCGAGGTCGAAGGTTTGCCCTAGACCCTATAGGACATCTATGTACCTATCAGGATCATCTGAAAACTTCCCAAGGTCTGCCTTGATCTGCTTTAAATCAGAGGGAGAAGTGGACATGTACCCGGGTTGGGCCAAATTCCCCTCCCCCTTCAGCTTGAAGGGGGCATAACCGATAGCCTGGGGGTTTTTGTGGTCCTTTGGAGATTTCCTTGCTTATTTCCTTCTGGGCAGGGGCGATTAGAGAAGGATTATCATTAATAGGAAGGGGAGCTATAGGGAGGGCTAGGATATGGGAGTAAGCTGAGAGGTCCTCCTGTGGGATGTAAATTGCAAGCTTTGCATAGTTGTGTATTCTCCCTCAATGAAAAGAAAGCTTGGACATAAGGTATTTCACTCCATTTGCCTTCCCTCTTACAGAAAAGGTCAAGCTGCAGGATAGTACTGTAATTTGTACTTCCCTCAGGTGGCCATTTTTCCCCATCAGAGAGAGAATATTGGGGCCAAGCTGTAGTGCAGAAAAAAATAAGCCACCTCTTTTTCAGAGTTTGTGGGTCAAATTGGTCCCAATGGCTTAGGAGGCATTTCAAGGGTGAGCCTGTAGATGCCTGAGTGTTTCCCATCTGAAAGACAAAACCACCCGCAGTTTTGGTTTTTGTTTCTCCCCCTGCCCAAGAACCTGCAACAGTCCCTGGACCCTGCTGATCAGAATAGTTACGCTCATCGATGCAGCAGCAGAAACACTAGTTTTCCTCTTACATCACAAAGAGGACTGAGGAATGTTGGATTTAGTGGTCCTTACCAATGCATTCTCGAAAACCTGCACCCTTTTCTGTCCTCCTAGACCACAAAGAGGACCAAGAAAAATCGGATTTAGTGGCCTTTACTGACGCATTCTCTAAAACCTGTTAGAGTCCTAAGCATTCTCCTGTTAGTATTGGGACTTTACCCCCGTCCTATAGAGATGTTATGCCCCAAAAATGAAGCAGAGGGCCATACCCTGAGGGAGGGAAGGGATCTTCCAGAGTTGGAAGAGTGACAACTTTTGCCGTCACTTATATGAATAGGAAAGATACAATTTCTGAGGCTCCTCACATCCTAGCTTCAGGAATAGCTTTTGTTAGGCCTGCTTGACTGAGGAGCGATCCTAAAATTCCAGACTATGACAGGTCTTTAGGCAAAAATTATGTCTTTCTGATTGGGAGCCCTGGTGCCTAAAGAAGGCAGCAGAGTCCTGGAGTTTATGCTAGAAGTCATTCTTACAGGAGAAACTAAAGCACCAGAGACAGGGAGTGGTTTTTAGAAGCGGGACTAGTCTCACAGAAGAGAGGTGAGAGGAAGTTTGTCTGGCAGGCATTAGGACCCAGGAGGAAAAGGGTCAGGATAGATAGAATAGATGGGCGAGTCTCACTTGGGGGACATGCCTTTTGAGAGTTCTGCTCATGGCCGCAGGGTCAACCAACTTGTTGTCGGGACCCCTGAGCTGCATGGCTTTCCTCTCTGTTGACCCTTGGTTCAGCCCAGAAGTACAGGAAAAGTGGAAGCTGGTTCCAGGTAAACCAACACTCCCAACTCCGAAGAGTTGGGGGTTGTTAGAGAGCCCTTTCCCAGAAAGCCTGACACCCGTGTCTTTAGTCCAGTGGCTGTGCTAGTCACTTTTAACTGGCCGACAGATGCCTGGTATTTAGCCCCCAAATTCTAAGGAAAAATAGGACAGAATAGCGAGCAAAAGGGGTCCGTTGATACTCACCGCTTGGCGATAGGTGATGGTCTCACCACTTGACGATAGTCTCACTGCTTGGCAATAGACGATAGGCCCTTCGTGGTTGCCAAAATGTGTCCAGAATTGGTGAGTTCTTGGTCTCGCTGACTTCAAGGATGAAGCTGCGGACTGTCGCAGTGAGTGTTACAGCTCTTAAAAGCAGCACGCATCTGGAATTGTTCGTTCCTCCCCATGGGTTCATGGTTTTGCTGGCTTCAGGAGTGAAGGTGCAGACCCTTGCCATGAGTGTTACAGTTCATGAAGACGTCATGGACCCAAAGAGTAAGGAACAGCAAAGATTTATCATAAAGAGCAAAAGAACAAAGCTTCCACACTGTGGAAGAGCACCCCAGTGGGTTGCCACTGCTGGCTCAGGCAGCCTGCTTTTATTCCCTTATCTGACCCCACCCACATCCTGCTGACTGGTCTATTTTACAGAGATCTGATTGGTCCGTTTTGACAGAGTGCTGATTGGTGCATTTACAATCCCTGAGCTAGACACAGAGTGCTGATTGGTGCGTTTACAATCGTTTAGCTAGACACAGAGTGCTAGACAGAAAAGTTCTCCAAGTCCCCACTAGGTTAGCTAGATACAGAGTACTGATTGGTGTATTTACAAACCTTGAGCTAGACATAGAGTGCTGATTGGTGCATTTACAATCCTCTAGCTAGACATAAAAGTTCTCCAAGTCCCCACCCAACTTAGGAGCCCAGCTGGCTTCACCTAGTGGATCCTGTGCCAGGGCCGCAGGCAGAGCTGCCCACAAGTCCCACGCCCTGCACCTGCACTCCTCAGTCCTTGCGTGGTCGATGGGACCAGGGGCCGCAGAGCAGGGGGCGGTGCCCGTCAGGGAGGCTTGGTCCGCGCAGAAGCCCACCGGTGGGGCGGCTTGGGCATGGTGGGCTGCAGGTCCCGAGCCCTGCCCCGCAGGTAGGCAGCTGAGGCCCTGCGAGAACTCGAGCTTGGCGCGGGTGGGCCGGCAGTGGTGGGGGACCTGGCGCACCCTCTGCAGCTGCTGGCCCGGGTGCTAAGCACCTCACTGAGCCCCTCACTGCCCGGGTTGAAAGAAAGAGGGAAAGAAGGAAGTTTGTGTGCAAGGATCTCAGTTCTGAGCTCAGTAAGACAGCCAGGGATCCTCCAGCCAAAGTCGTCCAGCACAGGAAGCCAGCATCTCCCACCTTTCCTCCGTGTCCCTGCCAGGCCCAGCCATGGACTAGGAGCAGCCCAGGGGAAGCATAGCCTCATGGAAATGGGTTTCCAAGGGCAGCAGCAGGGCTGCTGGTCACCAACGCTCCCACAGTCAGAGTTCTGAGAGGCCTTGCTCACGGCCCCTGCACTGAGGAACCTGGGCCAAGCTGCTTCATTTTTAAGCCTCCTATTTCCTCAACTATAAAGTGGGGGTAGTAATTTCTAACTCACAGTGTAGGCGTTTGAGATCATATCTGTGAGTTTATTTCTATGCCAAGCACACATGAAGCTCTCAATCATTGACTGTTTTTATTATTGTTGTCGATGGTGATGTCATTGTCATTATCGTATATTGAAGGCTCTCAGGCAGTGGACAGGCATGAGCAGAGCCATGCATTAGAAACGGTCCCATCGCACTCAACCTGCCTCAGTCTCTTCCCTTAGCCCTCTGGGAGTATCGGTAACTCTCAAAAACAAGTCCCCTCCCTCTTTCTGAAATGACTTGCCAAAAAGGGCCCAGGCAGCAAGATGTATAAAACAGAAATGGAAATGGAAAACTCGGGGCCAGGGGAGGGGGCAGGAGGAGCCACACAGGGTCACTCAGCTTCAGCAGGCACCAGGCACCATGGCTCCGTGGGTCCCAGCAGCATCCCAGCCTCCCAGGGGCTGCCTCCTGGCTCAGGCTCTGTGAGAGGGTCACAGGTTTGTGGGAGGTTGTTTCTCTTTCCAAAACTGCTGACTAATACGGGGCATTAAAAGCAGCAGCCTGGGCCGGGTGCTGTGGCTCACTCCTATAATCCCAGCACTCTGGGAGGCCGAGGCGGGCGAATCACTTGAGGTCAGGAGTTCAAGACCAGTCTAGCCAACATGGTGAAACCCCGTCTCTACTAAAAATACAGAAATTAGCTGGGTGTGGTGGCGGGCACCTGTAATCCCAGCTACTCAGGAAGCTAAGGCAAGAGAATCACTTGAACCTGGGAGGTGGAGGTTGCAGTGAGCCAAGATTGTGCCACTGCACTCCAGCCTGGGCGACAAAGTGAGACTCTGCCTCAGAAAAATAAATAAAGTAAAATTAAATTAAATTAAATAAGAAGGCTGTTTCTTAAAGCAAATATACAATTCAAATGAACTGATTGAGCACCTGTGCCAGGCCCTGGGGAATCAAAATGAACAAAACATAGGCCCTGCCCTCAAGGGGCCCCCAGCAAGAGACGTGTCCCTAACAAACATCAGGGCCTGTGATGGGTCTAAGGAACACGTGGGAAAGGGTGAGATTGCGCAGGAAGGGAGGAGGAATCCAAGCTGGGTGGTCAGAGAGCCCACAGGCAGTTCAAGGGGATTTACACGAAAGGACACGGAGGGTGTGTCCTAGAGGCATGGTTCTGCAGGAGGGCGAAGGGCAAGGAGGATTTGGATCTGGAGGGCCAATGGGGGCCAAAGCCCTGAGGGCCTGAGGTCAGTAAAGCCTTGACTGTGAGGTCCTAGGGAGCCACGCAGAGTGTAAGCCAAGCTGGTGGATGAGCTTTGCATTTCAGGACTTTGCACAGGAGCAGTGTGAGGCTAACTGAGGGGGCTGGGCAAAGGCTGGTCATTTATCTTCTGCCCCCACTACACCTTGAAGCCCCAAAAAGTAAGAGAGTTGCCTTTCTTGTTTCCTCAACATGGAAAGGTCATGTTGGTCATGACCTTCCATGGTCGTGACCAATCACCCAGTGGGTGATGGATCAGTGCTTCCTGTCCTGAATGCATACATGATGGAGGAATGACCTATACATTTAGGCCAGCATTTTCCAAAATGTATTCCCAAACCGAAAGATGAATAGCTGATCAATTTCCCAAAGGAGGTAGAAACATACCAGATATTCACTCACTGCCATCTGGGCCAGGCCTCACATGCATGATCTCTTCCAGTTTAATGCGTACAGCAGCCCACCTGGCCCCACTTGACAACTGCAAAAACTGAGGCTCTGAGAGTTTAATGTCTTGCCAGAGACATTAAAGGTCATGGTAATGACAAAATTCAAAAGCAGATGTTGTTATATCAAGTCAAATGCTTTTTCTAACAGTGCACACACGCACAGAAATAAGCTCACGTTCAGTCAGGGAAAACATTCTGCACTCTGTGTGTGTGTGTGTGTGTGTGTGTGTGTGTATTTGCAGCCTCCTCTCAGGTTTTCCATGGAACTGTTGTGTAAATGGAGGTGACTGGCTCAGGAGCAGCCCTGCAGGATTCACAGGGGACCCCGCCTGAAGTGTCAGCACAGGCAAAACCAAACACATCCAGAGAAATCGGAACTAGGTCTGTTTGCAAGAACAGAAGCTGCTCAGCTGAGGCAAGAACACCACTGTTGTCTGTGCTGGCTTTCGTCTGGAATGTCTTTAAATAAAATGATTTGCCCTTGGCCAGGTGCAGTGGTTCATGCTTGTAATCCCAGCACTTTCGGAGGCCAAGGCGGGTGGATCACCTGAGGTCAGGAGTTCGAGACCAGCCTGACCAACAAGGTAAAATCCTGTCTCTACTAAAAATACAAAAATTAGCCAGGTGTGGTGGCAGACACCTGTAGTCCCAGGTACTCGGGAGGCTGAGACAGGAGAATTGCTTGAACCCGGGAGACGGAGGTTGCAGTGAGCCCAGATTGTGCCACTGCACTCCAGCCTAGGTGATAGAGCAAGACTCTATCTGAAAAAAAAAAAAAAAAAAAAAAAAAGATTTGTACTCTAAACATAAGCATTTCCAATTAATCTCCTTTTTAAGCAGAAGATGTTATCTCCAGGCAGCAATAAATCGAAGTCCAAATGAAAGGGGTTACCCCGGCCACCCAGCGGGCTGTTATGATGGGGAAACTGGAGGCTCAGGACCTGGCAATGCCCCCGCCCTCATCAGTGCTGCCTTTTGTGGCGGGAACGAGTCTTTGTCTGCAGATCTGGGGAGCTCGAAGACAGATGTGTAACCCTGCTGGCTGTACCTTCAGCAGGTGTCTAGAATTCAACCTCATCTCCACCTCCATGCCACTCCCTCCAACTTCCTCCCTGGGATCACCACCTCCTAACTCTGCCCTCCCCTCCGTCTTCCAGACTATCCCCATCATAGACAGAATGACCCTTTTAAAGCTCAGACTCTGCAATAACGGCTGCCCGTCTCACTCATGGAGAAGGAACAGGACCAGGAGGGCCTAGTGATGGAAGGACCAACACATGGTTGGATGACAGACCCTGAAGGGCCCTTGTGGATGGGCTCCATGGGAGGTGGCTGTGAAACCACCCAGGCTGAGGCTCCCCCGTGGGCTTGAGTCACACCTGGCCAAAGCTTGCAAAGTGGAGGCTGTATCACATTTTCTGTTTTCCCCAAGCCTGACATCCAGTGGGCACTAATAAAGGTTTAACGAATAAATTAGTGCATGCAAGGACAGAAGTATTGCTCTATGGTTGCAATATTTCATGTTTTTTCCTTAGGCAAAAAGGACATTAAAAACCATTTGAGACGGAGTCTTGCTCTGTCACCCAGGCTGGAGTGTAATGGTGTAATCTCAGCTCACTGCAACCTCCACCTCCTGGGTTCAAGCGATTCTCCTGCCTCAGCCTCCTGAGTAGCTGGGACTACAGGCATGCGCTACCACGCCCAGCTAATTTTTGTATTTTTAGTCGAGACGGGGTTTCACCATGTTGGTCAGGATGGTCTCAATCTCTTGACCTTGAGATCCACCCACCTCGGCCTCCCAAAGTACTGGGATTACAGGCATGAGCCACCACACATGGCCAATATAAAAAAATTTTAAGGTGATTTTTACCTGGCGATGGTACTGCCCTTACCTTAGGAGGCATTTGGAGCTATGTGAAGGCATTTAATTTTTTAGTTTTGGTTGTCACAGTGACTGGGGGTGTTACTGATATTTAGTACCCATGGTAAATATTTTGAAATGGGTAAGATACGCAATTTTACAATCATCCCACTCAGAATGCCAAATAGCACCTGTATTAGTCTGTTCTCACACTGCTAATAAAGACATACCCGAGACTGGGTAATTTATTAAGGAAAGAGATTTAATGGATTCACAGTTCCACATGGCTGGGGAGGCCTCACAATCATGGCAGAAGGCAAAGGAGAAGCAAAGGCACGTCTTACATTGCAGCAGGCAAGAGGGCGTGTGCAGAGGAACTGCTCTTTAGAAAACCGCCAGATCTTGTGAGACT